CATCCTTCTTTCCTCTTCAGAGAAGTTTCTCTTTAAGGCTTTAGCTCACTTATTGATTGGGCAGTTGTTTCTTTGTGGATCTGTTGTTGGGGGATTTAATTTTTTAAGTTCCAGGTATATTTCAGATATGAGACCCTTGTCCGTTGTATGGCTAGTGAAGATCTTCTCCCAATCTGTGAGCTTTCTCTTGATCTTGCTAGCTATGTCTTTTGCCATGCAGAAGCTCTACAATTTTATGCAATCCCATTTGTTCAACCTTTCTTTGATTTGTTGTGTTTCTGGGTCTCTATTAAGAAAATTTTGGCCTGTGCCAAAGAGACCTACGGTTTCTCCTATTCCATCCTGTAATTTTTTCAGGGTGTCTGCTTTGACTCCGAGGTCTTTGATCCATTTGGAGTTGATTCTGGTGCAGGGTGATATATAAGGATCTAGCTTTAGTTTTCTATGAGTAGTTAACCAATTTTGCCAGCACCATTTACTGAAGAGACTATCTTTCTTCCATTCAATTTTTTTAGCTCCCTTATCGAAGATTAGATGGCTGTATGTCTGTAGGCTCATTTTTGGGTTTTCAATTCTATTCCATTAGTCCTGAGGTCTGTTCTTGTGTCACTACCAAGCTGTTTTGATTATTATGGCTTTGTAGTAGAGTTTGAAATTTGGTATTGATATTCCTCCAGCACTGTTCTTTCTGTTGAGGATCGTTTTTGCTATTCGGGGTCTTTTATTGTTCCATATTAATTTTTAGATTGCCTCCTCTATTTCATTGCAGAATGAGGCTGGAATATTGATAGGTGTCGCACTGAATTTGTAGATAGCCTTAGGAAATATTGCCCTTTTCACGATGTTGATCTACTTGCGGTGATTTTTATGAAATGTGATCACTCACTAAAATTAAGAAATTAGCATAAGTTTCCCTAAGTGGAATGCCTACACTCACCAGGTAAGAGTTGTTTTTAAAAAGTAATCCTCAAAACATAAGACTTCTTAAAAATTTCAATGTGTATGAATGGACAAAGCTGTTTTTAAAATCAGGGCAAATACCCTATGCAAATATAGATAGGTAAACTTTGACTGATTTGTACTTAATCATCTCTAATCATAATGATCTCAGAGATTTTTGGCTATACCCATTGCAGAGATTAAATATATGCAAATACTTTCATGGCAAAAAGCACATATAATTTTCACACTGTGGGGTAAAGTGATGCAGAAAATATTTTGAGTTTCTTTCGCCTCAGCTTTTTCCTCAGATATTAAAATTGTCTTCTTGGAGACAAATAACAATTTTTGAAAGAGAAAATTAAAGATAAGATGGAAGAGACAAGAGTGAAGCTATAATGTGGAGGCTCTTCTGCTTTTGTTTTCCCACATCAAGGATTTACCTTTTGTTTCTCTTGATATGCCTTTGCCCTTGTTTTCTGAAACCTGGCCTTTGGTATAAATTCAGCCTAGGAGTCTATACCAGGAATCATCTAGTTGAAATCAATTCTTGCCTTGAATAACATGACTCTAAACTAGAAAGAAGCCCTGAGATCATAATACAGCTTTCCCACCAAATATTCAGGTGTTTGAATTGGATGGAAAGCTCAGAGTAATGTAATGGAAGTGGCTTTGAAAGTCAGAAAGACCTAGTTTGAAGTTTACCAGCCACATTCAAAATCTAAATCACTAGGGACTATTTTTTCAATATTCCTGAAACTGAAATAGGGAGTTAGGGTCTGGCTGGTGCCATCTTGGCCACATGGTGGATGGTAGGGTCTGTCACCTTGTCTTCATGGTAGGGGAAGTTGAAGCCCCTGCTTCCCAGGTGATGGGCATACCTGAATCCTTCGAGGCAGAGGTGGGACTTGGCTGATAGGTTACTAAACCTGTGAGTCTAGTGCCAGGGTCTGGGAGTTTCCTGTGACCCTACCCCTTGACCTGACCATATTTAGGCTCAGACAAGCTCAGGTGCCATTTCACCATGCCATGTGTCTCCTTGTTCCTATACTATCTCTTGGCTCCCGGCTCTTCTCTATAACCATGGTATCCCACTTCAGCTCTCCATTGGAGCTGAATTAGCTTGTTGGTATTGGTTTTGTTCTTTTTTTTTTCTCTCTGGCCTTCATGGCTTAGTTTCCTAACAGTGTTAAGTGTATTTACTGGCTGCTGGTCTTTGAGACAGGGGTCCACCATGAAGTTGCTGGCCTTTTAATAAAGACTCCAAGATTCAACCTCAAAATGTGGCTTCTTCATTTTCTCACCTTATAGCTAAACAAGTATTGAGTTGAACTGTAGGTTCCTATCTGCATGTTTCATTTTGAAATGGACCCTGAAACAAAGATTCAAGTGAACATAATTCACTTCTAATAGGAGGAATGTTGTGAAGGGAATAGGTAAGCAAAACACAGGGACATCATCTCAAACCTATTATCCAAGCAGTGAGTGGAACTTACACCTTTGAGGAAAATTCTGAAAACTAGTGTAAAGTATCTATTTCAAGGTATTCTACCAAGATGCTGCAGTTTTTATATACCAAATCCCTTTCAACATTGGTTGAGGGATGCTTAGGAGTTATAATTTCTTGGCAGGTTATAATTTCTTGTCTTGCTGGAAAATAGAGAAATAAAGATTCTAAGCATTCTTGCTTCTTTGTGTCATCTGCATCAGTGAGATCTATCCTCTCTTTCCTGCAAAGTTCTCTGAATGTTACCATCGATCCTTCAATGTGGTTTAGACTTTCTTTTTTGTCTAAATTTAATTGTGATATAACCTCAGACACTCCCTGTCACAGGTACTTCTGAGTCTGTAAGTGTTATTAGGATCATCAGGAACTTTGGTGAGAGGGCCCTTTTTTGCTTTCACCTGCTGGTGTCTAGACCCATATGGCTAGCCAACAGTTTTGCTGTTTGTTCAAAGTAAATATCAAATAGTATTCCAACACTACTGAATGCTCTTCCCAAGCTGTATGTTTCAGACTCCATTCCAATATTCTACTAGACTAGATGCTTCCATACCATACATAGAGGAGAACATATAGTAAAGTATAAATGAATCCCGGAACCTACTATAGAGCCTTCTCTTGACCTAGGCATAACCAACAGAGTTGCAAGTCATGACATTGTACACTGGTATATCTGAGATTAAAAAAAAGAACCTTTCTATTGAAATGAAAATTGTAGATGACATACTCAGCAAATAGAACTAAACTTTTTCATGATAGTTCTATAAGAATAATTCAATACTTTCATAAACTAACCAGTTGAAATTACTACCTGAATTTGAAAAAGCTTGTGCCAATCCATGCCCTCAGAAAATATAGCGTATACATTTAATGGCGGCCTTTAGTCTGGGTCAACAAAGAGTTTTAAAAGAAAAAGTACCATGTGATGTCCCACCGCCTGGTCCTGAGGAGGGACTTAGTACAACACATATATATGTATGCTTATACATATATATGTATAACATTTCCCTTTTTGTCATTTCTTTGAAGGCTAAACTTATTTTCACAGCTCCACAAGCTCAAAGTGTAAGGGAACATATGTGTATCCATACGTGCAACACAGGCTCCTCATGCATTTATTACTCAGAGACTGGTGATTGAGAAATATTTGTACTATATTCTTTTTACTCATGGTGAGTCATTTTACTGTACATTTCAAAATCTGTGATAAATTGAAAGTTCCAAGAATATAGGTAATTTTCAACAAACAGCTTCCCATCAAGAAAAGGGGGGGGTTTATTTATAACCAGTATTCAGTTACAGTGGCAAAAAATTTGTCATTCAAATTATTTTGTTTCATTACATAACTGAAGGGCTAAGTAAAAACGCTCAATACCTCCACCTTAAAAAATATTCTTCAATTATTTCAAAATCTTCACTTTGTGATAATGGTCTGGCTTCTGTTTCTTCCTTTGGACTCTCTCTCTTTAAAAAATATTATCTTTAAGTACCAATTTCTCAGTTTTATTTTGTTGAACTGTGATTTTTGTCTGTCTAAGGAATTACACTGTTTTGAGTCTCCCCTACATCCACCATATTTCAATTAAGGCATTTATGTACACTTGCATACCACCCAAGGTTTTTACTTACATATTTGTAAACTAATTCTAGCTTCCACATATGAGGGAACGTATTCAACCTTCTTCTCTTGGGGCCTGACTTACTTCATATCACTTAACTTTTTCAGATTTTTCCATTTCTTTGCAAGTAATGCAATATCATTTTTTCCTAATGGTATGTAAAATTCCATTCATCCAGTGAGGAGCATCTCTGCTTATTCCAAACTTTGGCTATGGTTATGCTGGTGGTTTTACTACATCCTAGTTTGTAATTTTTTAGATAAATGCCCAGGAGTGGTATTATTAGATCATAGGGTAGAACTAAATGTAGAAACATTGAGTTTTTTGAGGAACCTCCATGCTACTTTCCAAAGTGGTTGTACTTCCCATTGCCAACAGTGACCTCTGGCTTATGAACAGGTAATGAAAGTGCTAGGGACCTGATTCTGATTTTCTGTTTAACACATCACAGTTTTGCAAGTAGAAGCTTGATTACCTTGGAATTATTTCTCTTTGATGAAGTGATCACTTAACTCAGTAGAAAGGTGGCTGTTAGTCTTAGTTCAAATAATTGCATGTTGTGACTGAAAGTTAAAAGTACATAGTAGGTACTCCTTATGTGTTGGTGTTTGAATAAATGAAGACCTTCACAATAAATGTATAAATGATTTTTCTTCATGAAACAAAAATAGACATGGTCCTGTGAAATATAGGCATGATTATTTTGTATCACTTTTAAATTTGGCAGGCTACCAAATGTTAATTTGCTTTTAGCTAGTTGAGATTAAATGTAATTCCTTCCTGGAGCAACCCTAACATAAGTAAGCATGAAAGCATTTTCAGAGTAATCTGGGAGGAATTGACATTTAAAGGAGTTAGCATTACATTTGTACTTTAAGGCTATTAATTTCATAGATAAATTAACTTCATTATTCCATCTTTATCTTGCATTTTGAAAGGACTTCATCAGCTGGAGGATTGAAAGTGGAAGGTCAATTGAAACTGCTCTTATCCCAGCCCGGTTGTAACTGGAACCTGCTTCTTGAAACCCTGCTGTGTAATGATGGCCTTTTACCAAGAATCTTGTTGAGAAGCTCAAGTGAGTATTTGTAGTTAATAAGAATGTCCTCAAAAAACCTAGTCCTTGCTCTTGAGTTGGATGAAACTTTTTTCCTTCTTGAATATTAGCCAAAGGACATTAACTAACTACATGAATTAACAGTGTATGTAGTGACCAACAGGCAAACTTCTGAATTACTTTACCAAAATATATGATTATACTGGAGGTGGGACTCTCAATGAGGCAAAGTAATATTTTTATATGACATAATTCTATGAGAGCTGCCATCACATGGATGTATACCAATATTCAGGGTTTGAAATACCTGAAAAAACTGGAAGAAGAGCATTATACTTCAAAAGCATAAGTCTAAATTAGACAGACAATAAATAAAGAGATAGAGAAAGATTGCATAGAGCAAGACTGGAAATTTTAGTATATCCAGAGAAGTGCTTATGCAATTTATAAACTAGCAAGCTGTGGCTGACAATCATATCCATTGGGGCATGGAAAAGTAAATTCCTGAGAAAATGATGAAAGGAAAACTGAGGAGTAAAGGAAATCCATACTTCTCTTAATTCTTTTTTTTCTCTTTAAATGCTACTTTTGAAAATTGTAAGTAAGGTTATGACAGCACATATTCCATTTCTCTACCACTTCTGTTAAGTCTTCTAACCTTTCTCACATACTCCCATGCATTAATTTCACTCTGTACCACACAGAAATTCAGATTATTTTCATCTATTACTAGTTTCACTGCAGATTTCCCAGATCAGAATGTTTTTGTTTCCACCATTCAAATATGAACCTAGACTAGTTTTCTGTCATTTCTCTCAGGATTCCCTCACATACATCTTCTACTGATCTAGCTCTTTTCCAGACATTTCCACTGAAGCTCATGTATGTCCATCCTCTATATCATGGCTCGCCTATTTTCCTACTTAGAGTCCCACCCCAGACATCTTGGCCTTTACCAATCTTCCAGGACCAGTGGAGGCTACAAACCTGTGAACATTCTGCCTCACATTGATTTTATTCTCCCTAGAACTTCTCAGTGCCCTTTATCTTGACCACTTTATTTGCCCCTAGCATGCTATTATAATGATAATTATCTATAACTGAGACCCTATAAGCTTGCTGGTACACAAACAAAGTTCATGGCATTCCTGTCCCCTTTCCCTCCCATTCATATTGCTCTGGACATTTCTGATATTTTTTGTTTTTCACATCTGCACAGGACTTGTTTCCTAACTTTTTTCTCTTTTTAACTTTCATGTTTGTTTCCAAGAGGCCAGTAAAAGAAGGTACCTCTGTGAGATTATTGCTTATTCTCTGATATTCTCAAAACCATAAAACCATTCAGTGCCAGAGGTCAACAGAACTCCCCAGGCCTCAGTGTGCTGACTCAGAAGTTGCAGATTGCCCCACTCCTGAACTCTGAACCTGATATCCACCTGGTCTCTAAGCAGTACTGTTTTAGTGTCCAGTCTCACAAAGTTCGCCTAAGGGCCTTTTTTTGGCTCCACACTGTAATTTCATTCTCATAAGGAGTAATTAGAAATAAGGAAACCAATTCCTTAAATAACTAGCATTTTGTGTACTTATTAGAAGGGAAGAAACATGCTAGCCACTTTGTATTTATTATATAATTTAATCCTTCTTATAGCCATATGAAGTATATACTTTTACTGTTTAGATCTTAAACGTCTCATAAAAGCTCATATATTCAAGGGTTAGTGCTCAATTCAGCAATGTTCAGAGGTAAGAATCTGGGAACTGATTTGTATTGTTGGTGCTCTGACTTATTCACTGAAAGGTGGAATTCTGATGGGCTATTGGGAAATGAAGGAAACTTGGGAGATGAGACTTTGTTGAAGAGAGTAAGTTCCTAGGAGTTGTATCTTCCCCTTGCCTCCTTCTTTCCTCAAGCTCTCTTAAGCCCTCTTAGCTTTCTTGCTGCCATGAGATTAATCATGGTTCCACCACACACTCAACTGCGTTTGTTCCACCATGTGCTCTCTGCCATACTGTTCTGCTTCCTCACAGCCCAGAAACCATGGAGGCAAGTAAGCAGGAACTGAAATCCCTGTAGAACTGTGTGCTAAAACAAATCCGTCCTGAAGTTGATTTTCTTAAGTATTTTGTTACAGCAACAGAAAGCTGACTGACAGAACACTATTACTATCTTTGAGTTAAAAACAAGGCAGGCACTCAACCACTGAGCCACACAACCAACCCTGTGTGAAAAATAAAGACAATGGAGTTTGAGATACATGTTGCTGATCTTCTGTATCTGTAGGTTCTTCATTTATGGATTCAATCAAATCAAGACAAGAAAATGTTTGGAAAGAATTGAACTTACACTAATATATTGAGACTTTTCTTATTAATCATTATTCTTTTAACACTATAATATGACAATAGTTCACATAGCATTTTCATTGTGTTAGGTATAATGAATACTCTAGAACTGATTGAAAGTATAGAACAGATATACATAGTTTCTATGCAGATAATATGCTGTTTTATGTAAGTGTCTGGGTCACCCATGGATTTTATCATGAAGGTTAAAGGGCTGTATGACATGGATAGTATCTGACACAAATGAGACAAATTTCTCTGATATAATTACTAACACTCACAGACATCAGGCACTAAGAGAAATGGTCTCCAATTGATAGAGTCATGTATAGCAGTCTGGGCAATCAGTTGTGATCTAACCTTTTGATTCTATTGATATAAGCCACTAAGTGCAGAGAAAGCATACTTGTGAATATTTAACATTCATACTTACTTCCTTATCAAAACTGTGGTAAAACTGTTTTCTCATCTCTGTGACATGATGCTACTTTGAAGGGAAAGCCACTTGAGTTGTTTTATTGTATGATCTCTAGTTATAGTGCCTGTCTAATACAATATTGTATTTATCTAACTGTTCAAATACTTATATTATTTTCCAAGAAATTTTTTGTTGTTGTTGGTCATAGGGCCTGAGTTCTAGGCCTGGGCGCTGTCCCTCAGCTCTTTAGCTCAGGGCTAGTGCTCTACCACTTAAGCCACAGCTCTTCTTCCGGTTTTTTCTTCTTATATGGTGCTGAGGAATCGAACCCAGGGCCTTATGAATACAAAGCAAGCACTCTTCCACTGAGCCACCTTCCCAGCCCCTATATTATTTTAACTAAAAGAAAATTAGTTTATGTGTCTGTGTTGCAGTAACAACTTCAAGTACCATGAAGATGAAGTGACAGCTCAAGTGGAGTACTTATAGAAACACTATGCTTACAGAATTTGATTAACTATGAAAATTGGGTTTATAAGAATAAGTTTGTAATATTTTGACTGAACTTTTCATTTTATTATAAGCTTTACAGTATTTCAGAAAATCATTTGATAACTTAGAAGTCTGTCATTTTTATTTGTTATTTATTTACTTTTAGTTCAGGTTTTTAGTATATTCCTGTATGGAAAAAAATAGGAATATTGAAATGAAGTGGGTTTTTTTTGTTTTTGTTTTTTTGTTGTTATTGCTATTGTTGTTGTTGTTGTTGTTGTCATGGGGCTTGAACTCTGGTCCTGGGTGCTGTCCCTGAGCTCTACCACTTGAGCCACAGTACCACTTCTGTTTTTCTGAGTGTTTTATTGGAGATAAAGTCTCAGGGACTTTCCTGCCTGGACTGGCTTTGAACTGTGATCCTCAGATCTCAGCCTCCTAAGTAGCTAGGATGATAGGAATGAGCCACTGGTGCCCAGCTGAAATATTTTTTTAAATTACAGTTATATTGTAAAGGTGATAAACAGAGTGGTGACATAAGTAAGATAATGAATAGATTTCTATTAAACAGCAGCCTCATTTTCTCCCAGTTTTCCTCCCTGACCTCCACCCCGCTCAAGTTGTAAAGTTCATTTCCAGCATAGTGTCTAGTGAGTATCACTGTTGAATTTTTTCACCCTTTGTCCCACTGTTTCTGTGATTTCCATTCCCCAAATCAGATAAACTTATATAAAAGATAAAGAATACAGAAATTAAAAAACAGTGATAACAGAGAATAAACCAAAGGAGAAAAAGGAAAGAAAAAAGAAGTACCTGAAAACAGTACAATAAAAAAACCTCTTGTTGGGCTAGGAAGGTGGCTCAGTGGTAGAGCGCTTGCCTTGCATGCCTGAGGCCCTAGGTTCGATTCCTAAGCACCACATAAGGAAAAAGAAAAAAGCCGGAAGTGGCGCTGTGGCTCAAGTGGTAGAGCATTAGCCTTGAGCTGAAGAGCTGAGGGACAGCGCCCAGGCCCAGAGTTCTGGCCCCACGACTGGACCCAAAAAATAAAACCAAACAAACAACAAAAAAACCTCTTGTTTCCTTTTCTTGGAGTTCATTTTGATAAGCATCATATTATGTGGTCATATATGCATAGCTATTGAGCCATTGTGATCCTCTCCTAAGAATATGCTCCTTTGTTATCAGTGTGCAGATGCATAGAGTGCTGTTTAATTAATCGTGTTTATGTGTAATTTTTTGTCTCTTACTATCCATTGGATTAACTTGTAGATTCATAGGCATATTATAGTTACTACAAATGAGGGAAAGCAAGCAGCCCAATTTTCTTTAGGTCTGGCTTACTTTGCTTAGGTCTTTTCTAGGTTTTTTCTATTTCCTTAGGGCAATGCCATTCTTTCTGATGGAAGCTTAGAATTCCATTGTATATATGCCACATTTTATTTCATCTACAGAGAGGCATCTGGGTTGATTCCCTATCTTAGTTATGAATGTCTGATCTCTCTTTTCCTCTTCAATATAGTTTTGGAATTCCTAACTAGAAAAATAAGAAACAAACATAAAGGGGATCCAAACAGGGAAAGAAGTAAAACTTTCCCTCTTTTGAGGTGATATGATCATGTTTTTAAAGAACCCCAGTCTTTCCCTGAGTTACTTGAGCTGATCTTAAAAACTTTGGCAGAGTAGCAGGGTATAAAATAAACCCACAATAGCTTTTCTGTATGCCAGCAATGAGAAGAGTGAGGCTGAACTCAAGAAAGCAACTCCT